GCAGATACTCAATGTGAGCGGCCTTCCGGCGGATCAGCTCCAGCACTAGCACGGTCGGCAGGTGACTGATGGTCATGTTGACCCTCTCGGAGGGCAGGCAGACAACTTTCCAACGACTCATTACAGTGCTCATGAGTTTTGCCAAATCTTGCACTATAAGCACATGAAGTTGGGAAAAAAATCGGCACGTGCGTTAATAAATGCGACTTAATTTCCGTAGTATCTTTTTTTTCTGGACACCCTGTACGTAGGACGCAAACAACATATTTCCAGTGTTGTTGAAAGGAAAATTATGCGTTATCTGGGGAGCACATCCGGATTTTTTTATGTCAATAGGCATGTATAATTCCAGAGATTACGACTTGGGCTCGAAATTCCCACAACGAAACTGTGTTTGGTGGTAAAACTGTTTTACTACGGCTCGTTCAAGACAGTGTTATTTTAAAAGCAGCAATACTTCTGTCAGCGGGTATAGGATAGACGTCAATACTGGCGTGATCGTAAATCATCTATCTATTGTGTACGATACGACCAGCCACTTATTGCGAGGCCAACCATGCTTTCGAGCAGCCTCAGTGTATGGTCGATTTCGTTGCTTGATAACAAATTTGTTCATGAAGTGCAGGACACAGGATAAAGCAGTGCAGATAACGTTTTAATGGCACGACGCTGCTCTGACATCATTGCTTACCACCTTAACTGCAATAATCTCTCTACGACATGTAGTGTATCCAAACATAATATTTTTGTTACTAGAGTATGCTTGCAGAAATACAGCCACATCGATAGCAAACATATATTGATATACGAGGGGTCGTCTGATGCTTCATCGGAGAGGACAAGGCAATGTGAATTAAGCAACGATAAACGAAATATCTAGATGACTTATTTGGGAATTTTATCTTCATGAGTAGGTACCTATAAGTTCAATGCATATAACTCAATATCTATATTACTATTTGAGGAGGGTGCGTCTGTCCGTTACCTAGGTCCCGACTTGGTGGTGCTTTGCGTGGACTACAGGCCAGACCGTTGCACCTAGCCCGGTGAAATTTGCAAACTTATAGATCAAGGATGCGCGACGTGCCTTTGAGGGGTCTCAGCTCGATCGGATTGATAGGGAGCGCGTGGCGCGTGCTCAAAAAGTGCAAATTCGCGTCATAAACTTTACATGTATAAATCGGCGTGCGAAATCGGGCGAAAACGGCTAATTTTGGCCGACACGGGTCCAGTTCCCGTGCAATATCTTGGTGACCAGGGGTCCGACCGGCACGGGAAAAACAGCATCGTGTACAGAATTGAACGGGCTATTGAATGGTGTGCGGTGCAGGGGATGGCACGCGCCACGTGCACCGGGGAGGGCACTTTTATGTGGAAAATTGACGTTTTGGACGGATTTTGGAATTTATATTATTTCCAGGTGACCGACAGACGGAGCGAGTTGAAACAACGCCTATTAGCAATAAAAATGTACCGCCTCTCATGGAAAAAAAATTGTGAAAAGCTAATTGAAGTTGAAAGCTGGCTGAAAGCTGGCTACTTTTTTTTTGAATAGGAGAAAACGAGTAACAAGTTTCAGGGTTTAAAGATTGAATGTCTTACGTTTAGAAGCGATTGCATTTTCCGATTTTGGCACTAGTGTTTGTCAATTGTCCATGCAGGAATAATGACCAAAATAAAACACCGTCCTGCGCCGCCACATTATTCCCCGACGAATGTCAAGGAAAATACGCATGCACAGTCTGCCTGATGCCAATCAGGACCTCTCGTTACGCGCGTAGCACGGCCGTCGCAGCCTACCTTGAAACGTCTCTGCAAAATTTTTGCGCTTTTTATCCGTCCAGTTCGTAAAAAAATTAGGAAAACCTTCATTGTCAAGTCATTGTGCACAGCGTGTTATCTTGTGTTGGGTTGAAGCTATACCGAAGCCACTTTAATTGTCAAGGTTCGGCAGTATAGGCCACATTGAGCCGAGGCTGAGGGTCTGGGGTCCAACTAAAGCCGGCGTAAAACTGGTTTCTCCAATCCAGGAAGCGCACAGAAGCAGGGATTGGTAGCTGAGACAGCTCTTCTAAATAAGCTGCTGGTAAATCTATGTTTAGAGGTGTGCACTGTGCAGCTGTGGAATGGCGGCTGGGAAGATGTGATTTTCCTGTTTTGCTTTTTAAGAGGGATTACTGGTAGGTACTGCATTGCACTTCGTCGGCAGTTCAGTGGTAGGTAGGTACTCATTGTTTGTCGCGGTATGCCAATTTGATCAAAGTAACATTCGCCTAGCAATGCTAAATCAAATCAAAAGATGTAAATATCATATTGTAGCGTCCCATAAACCCGGACCGAACGAAGGTGCGTCATATCGACTACGGAGGCACCTTTGGCTTTATTTATGTAATCTCTGTTCTGATCTGATGAACAACCGAAAGCTAGCTTATAAATGTCAGTCCAATTATGTCATGATTTCATCACTGCTTTTCACTGATGGGGTACGTTTAATGCTTAGCAAATCTCGTCACTTTATTCTTAATGATATGAACTCAAAACTGTCGTTACCTCCAAACCACCACCATAACCTGTCACCTGACACCGGGCGGCGGCCCGTGCGGTGTGTCGGTGACAGCTGACACCCTCAATCCTGGTGTCATCTGACACCGGGTGGTACACCAGGAGCTGTTTATGTTCCGTCGCCCACCGCCGCGCCGGTCTCCCTCAGTGCCCGGCTATGTTTGCAGACGAGCAATCGGCGCATGCGTGATCAGACGCCATGTGACCTCCCCTCCCCTCCCCTGCAGCCCCCTCGTCCCTCCCCTCCGGCGGAATGCCTAGGCCTCTGAAGTGCCGACGCCGGGTCGACCTGCCGGAAAGCCTGGTGAGCGTTAGGGCGTGACTAAGCCGCCTTTGAGGCCTCCGTGGTGGATCAGTGCAGTAAGTAGGCCTCACGGGGACGTCTAAGGATCAAGTGAAAACGCAGTTCTTTGAAGCTACCGATATGCTGGTATTCAGCCGGTATGTTTTAGCAATGCATCACTCTAGGTATGTCCGGAGTGAACGAAACCCGCAAGGCAGAATTGCAAGTAATGAAATAAAGAATAAAGCAGAGAGAACGGTGCTTAATGGTAAGGTCATATTAGCCAGACGTAGGGGCATGCTGCTGCTTCATTCGAGCGCGAGACCTCATCCTTCTAATGCCACAACTGCTAGGTCAGCAGGAGTCAAGTAACAGGCTGGTGCACAGCCAATGACATGCAGCTTAAACAAAAACAGATAAACAGACAAACATTGCCGTAACATGTCTGCACTGCCGAAATGTAATATGTACCGCAATCCAGCTTCGCATACTGCACCGAACACAAAAGCCTACCCAAGCACCAAAATGTAGCTCATTTCTGACCGGGCACGCACCTGCACCACCACATACCGCACCTCATAATTACCGGTGGCGGATGCAGCGTGCCTGAGGCACGGCAGTAAAATATTACACCTCTTCTCTGAACTATCACCTTCTGGGACATGACGTCAGCACGCCGGTGGCCGGCCCTGGGGTAGATGTAGCTGCGGGACGCGGTAATTCGTGTAGAAGCGTCTTCCTCACCACTTACTCTCAGAACCTCCAAAATACTCCCCCGGGATGTTTGTCTACCGCTTCTGGAATCGGTGTGCAGTCGACTAGGACAGCTTCCTTGCAGAGCGTCGGTAGACCGCAGGCATGACTGACTCACGCGTCCCGTCTGTCTGGACCTGCAGGAAATGTTTGCACGAGCAGGTTAATCGCACCCCGCTTCTGACATCAGCTCCCCAAACGCAGTCCGGTGTCATGACTGGCTCACCTCCGGGAGAGCCCTGGGTCCCGCAGCCTCTGTGCGCTCCCGCTGGCACGTCATGGGCCTCACGAACGTCCGCATCGACACCAAGGCCACATCGCCGCGGTCACTCACACTGTGATTACCGCTCCCCGAGAGAAGCTCCGACCAACGAGCCGGTCACGAGACGTCGCTTTACGACCCCGTTACGGCCCCGCTACGACCCTATTACGACCCCGCTACGACCTTGCAACGACCCCCTGATTCCGTTACGACCCTTTTCGTTACGAGTCCGTCCGCGGGGCCGCTGCGTGGCTTTCAGCGATGCAGTCCAGGATTCCAGACCACAGGCGCGACCGGTAAGCCAAGCCGGAGCCGTGAACCGACCTCGGCATTCGCCTGCGCTGTCGCGGACGCCCTGCAGGCTCCATGCCATGAGGTCATCGGGACTGAGGCGCGATTATCAGCCAACTCCAGTCGGCGCCGGCGCCAAGGCGCGACCACCCGCTCCACCCGCTCACTTGGTGTGTGACTGTGTTGCTGGTGGCCGTCCGTGCCGTGCGCTGGTGCCATCCTGCGCACTCTGTGTCAGTTGTCACCCATGGACTGGGTCCTGTGTGCGGAGCCCGCGGCCGTCGGTCTGTCGCTCATTCTGAGCCCTGGCTGGACGTCCGCCAGCGCTGCGCATCTCGCTGACTCACGGGGATTTGAGTGCGCCCGCCCGCCCCCCTCCACCGCCCCGGGGCAGATGGGGGCTGTCTGCAGCATCGGAGGTGTGTGTATGTAAAGTGTGTGTGGCTGGGTGCAGTAGAGGTACGTCGGTGGTGCGCGGTGGTCGGCGCTTTGGTGGGCTTGGTAGGTGGGTAGGTTACGTTTAGGCTGCTTGGCGTTAAAGTTTAGTTCCGTCTATGTTTTAAATCATTATTGTGCGATTGTGTGTTGTGTTTTGGTCCATGAGGTATGGCGCCCGGGGCGCTGGTGTTCGGCTAAGCCGTCCCGTCCCGTTCACGCCTTACGAGCTGTCTTGGTATAACGACTGGTTCAGGACCCACCGCTCAAAGCTGAACCGACGTCCCGAGCCGTGGCAGGTTATACGCAGTACTGTCACATCAAGCAGGTGTTGCAGGCGTTGTATGGTGATAGCTGATAGTGAGGTGATAGCAGTCACGTCACTCACCGGGTTTTTATCTGTTTCAGGTCACCGGCCGTCATCGCCATCAGATACTCCACCTTTGACCCCATCGGAGACCCCACCTGATACTCTGCCTGAGACCCCTCCTGAAACCCCGCCTGAGACTCCGGAGACTCTTCGAGAGTCGCCTGAGGCACCTCAGGAGACTACCGAGACCGCGGTGCCCCCGATCACACGCCGAGACTCGGGCTTCGCGCCCGACTCCGCCGCCACGACGCGTCCCAACTCGGCCGGCGGAGCCGCCGTAGCCACGATGCCGACCAAAGAGAAGAAGAAAGACGAGAGCAAGCGCCGCCTGCGCGGCCTGCAGCTGTTCAGGCGCTCCAAGAGCAAGCCGGCGCCGGTGCTTACGCCGCCGCCGCTCACCGCCATGCCGGCACGTTCGGTGTCTGTATCGGCGTCTGGCGAGCCACCACTGCCAGAGTTTTTCTCAGAGGTGGCTGCGCTGCGCCACTCAGCTGACGACCTATCCTCCATCGCTGGTGACCGCGAATCCTCACCCTCGGGCCGTGACCTGGCCCTGTCACCGGTCTCCATGTCACTCCACTCGCTCTCCGACCCTGCCCCACTCCAAACCCGACTGACGCCCTGGGATACACCCTCCCTGGACCCACACATGACCTCAGTGACCTCCGACCCGCGCGGCGCGGTGACCAGTTCACCAACCAACGGCGACTCTCGGCGCACCACCGAGACTCTCCGTCAGCGCGAGGAGCGAGAGCAAGTGGTGAGAGTGAGGAAAGTCACCACGGACATGGATCAGATCTCGGTGCCGGTCAGTCAGGGCGCCGACCCGGAGATGCTCCGCTCCGTCATCATGGAGAAGATGCGAGGAATGGGGAACATCGGCGATCAGGTCAGTCCAAGGGGAAGGGGAAGGGGAAGGGAGCGAGAGAGAGAGAGAGAGAGAGAGAGAGAGAGAGAGAGAGAGAGAGAGAGAGAGAGAGAGAGAGAGAGAGAGAGAGAGAGAGAGACTAGAGAGAGAGAGAGAGAGAGAGAGAGAGAGAGAGAGAGAGAGAGAGAGAGAGAGAGAGAGAGAGGAGAAGGAAGAGTGTGAAAAAGAAGAAGGGAGAAAGGTAACATTCCATCGCTATGCATTTAAAAGCCTTCAATGTGATTGCTTCTTAAAATTCCCCTGCCAATTCATACCATTTACGGTCCATCCTACATTCTGTACTTTGTATGATACACATGTATTTTGAGCGAAATAATTTCAGTCTACAATATTGAGAAAGCATTAACAAATGACCTGAGATATCCACTAAAAACTCCCATGTCTCCCGTGGTGTCGGAGGGGTGTTTATTTTCCTGCGGTTCCGGTCATGTGGCCGAGGCTCTGTCCCACCGGCCACCTGGAGCCATCTCCGACTGTCACCTGTAGAGCATCGTGACTTCGCGGTCGGGCGCCAGCGATTGCGTGGGAAGCTGGCGAGAAAAACGCCAAACCAAATTGGAATTTTCGCCGGCGCCGATTTGGGTTCCGGTTTTCCAGGTGGGTTGGCGGCTCGGCCGTCTTTTTACGCCGCTCGTCTGCCGGTGTAACGGGCTGGCCGGCCGACATTGTTGACCTCATGTTTGCGGCGTTGCGGTGGGGTGTCCTAATGACTGCAGACACAGCCCTGCCGTACGTCAGCGGCTCATCTGGCGGTCACGACCTCGGCATGTTATCGGTCTGTCGACTGATGCCATCTGACGGCGGAGCTGGAGGCGCTGTCCGCAGAGACAAATAACCTCCCACGGCAGAGATGTGCAGCACAGCCGCGCCGACAATAGGCGCCGATCTACGTGACAATGTGTCACATGACGCAATATTTTGTTATTTCATTGTAGCTCTATCAACGTCGGCATGTGGTGGAAAAGAACATGATTTTTCTTTCTCAGCGCTTAGGTCTTAGACACGAAATGCTGCTTCAGTGCCTCACGCTTTTACGGAAAAGAGAAGTTTCACTTTATGTAGGAGACAGGATGCTTCGGAAGCGACTTTTTTCACGTAGATACTTTGTGGCCCTCGCATGCCACCCATGCTAATTGCTATCCTGCATCTATATTTACACACGACTAGCTGGCGGAGTTGTTTCCTCAACCCCATTGAAATAATTTAGAGCAAGGATTTCAGCTCAAGCCAGTGGCGGATCCAGGGGAGGGCAAAATGGGCATTTGCCCTCCCCAAAGCCAAATCGTGTGGGCAAGACTATCTTTTTGCCCCTCCCAAAGCATGTAGCGATGAGCAAATCTAATACGGCGTCGATGCCTATATGGACGAAAAGCAGGGCTTCTGTCCGTGACGGCCATTCCGAAGGAAGGAGCTGACCACTTGCTGCTGATATTTTGGGTCGATATGCTGATATTAGATTGAACCCCCTGAACTGAATGCATGCATAAGCATATGCAGTGTGGCCAATGGCCATGGTGTGGGGTAACACGGGGCAAGATGCCCAGTCGGGTAAGACGCCCACCACCCTATATTCGAAATTACCTAAGCAATCCACAGTTTTGTCATTTGTTGGGAGCCTCATTGCTATGGAGCGTTCCGCGTAAAAAAAAAACGGCGACGTGCCTAGCCGCCATTTTATACCTATTTTTTGCATATATTCTGAAAATGTCAGACCAAGGTCTCTCAAGGTCACGAAGTCACTATAGCTGCACGTCAAGTGACATATATAACCTAAAAAATTCCAATGCTTGCCATAGCTAAACCGAGTGACGGATCGCTTTGAAACTTTCAGCAGTTAATAAGGGTAACAGTACCTATGCACAAAATGTTAGTCACATGATTTTTATATCGATGACCTAGGACTAGGTCATTTTTGCGACCTCTCCACTATAAGTCAATAAGAGAAAATTGAAAGGCACCTTTTTTTGGGCAAACCTCCTGTCCGGTAGCTCAGTTGGTAAAGCAATGGACTCCCGGTAGTGAGAGCCCGGGTTTGAGTCGCTCCGGCCCTCGATATTTGAGACTCCTGACGGGGATGGTCTGAGGTTGGTGGGAGCAGCCGCAGCCAGTCAAAGTCAGGAGTGGGACAGGCCGTGTCTGGCTTTGAAGGGCACGTTAAACATTGGCATTGTTAAACGTTCAACTAAATTCTCCTATCACCCGGAATTACGCGATCGGACGGTAGGGGTCGGGCTCTACGCAACAAGCTCTGCTTAGCGTAGGCTCCGGCTCCCGTCAATCCGCCCTTTCAAACATTCGTGCTAAATTTATAAGAAACGTCACTCTTAACAATACCGAGTTACAACCCAAACAGCACACAGTGAACCGGAAAATAGCACCCGTGACTCCTCCTTATGTCCCTGAGATCATTTCAGGTCACGAAAGATGTGCAATAGTTTGCAGCAATTCGCTAATAACTTCTGCTGGAGGCATTCTAGAGCAAAAGAAACACCTTAGATGTGTTCAGCTTTACGATACGGATTGACTGATATGCAACACGACCTTTTCCATGGTCATGACTTGACCAAATGTCAAAGTTGTAAGTTCACTTTTTAAGATCAAATTATAACTCATTCGACGCGTCTTCGCGAGAGGAACACGATGCCGGTAAAAGTAAGATCGCACAAGGTTTGATTCAAAAGTTATCGCAGAAAATCCGTTCCCGTAAAAATAGTATATACGAGATGATAAAGGCCCGATCAGGCCTTTATGATTATGGCAGTTTCCCCTGGAGGCTAAACCGTTGATCTTACTATCGTCAATCTGAGCGAATTATCCAGAAAGAGCAGTAACAGTGCTATCAAATTAGCTTTTCCGGGGCGCTCAGCTCTATTCGTTTCCGAGTTATGCGCCAGTTCTTCAAAAATTGTCGAAACTGGACCTAAATATGATCGGGATTTGGCCTTTGATGGGCTCTGGTGATCTGACATCTGACCTGACCTTAAAAGTGACTGGGGTAATTTGGTCATTATGTTTGACACTCTTTCAAACGCCGCATACCGCGTGTTGCTACACTTAAGTGGTCCAGGTAAGTGGAGTGCCGTGGATCAGCCGCCGTGGTAGGCATCCACGGCATCTGCATCCACGGCATTGGTAAGATTGGGCCCAGGAGCCGAGTTAGAAAGGATATGGGTGTTCGTTCAAACATCCCCCAGGGGCGTGAAAATCCAGGAGCCCCAGCGCGGCTGGCACGGGTTAACATAAGACATTTTACACCATCTTACGGTAAGATAGTGTAACTGGCGTTGTTAAGTAACTTGGTCACTGGCGCGGTGGTGGGTCAGGGTCGCCGATGGTCGGCTAAACTTTTGCCCTCCCCAAACGGATCAGCTGGATCCGCCCCTGGCTCAAGCTGTTATTTATTGTCATATTAAATGCCGTTATCTAATGGGATTTAATACACAAAACTTTCAAAAAGTAAATATATGATAATTATACCTATAGTGATTAACAATCATTGGATAAACCTTTGTCAAGAAAAGTCATTTACGAGACCTAACTGAAAACTGACTGAGAAAATGTTATCGTTTATTTAAAACATTGTTCCCACGAAGCTGGCACTGTTGTCAATTGATACTGAGCCAGATGTATTACATGTGTTCTTGCCCAGAAGCGAGCAATGGATCGTGCAATATTTCTGCTTGGGTACTATGTGGTATTGCAAATTGTGAATGTATGCGAGTTGAAAATACAGGGATTGATTGAAAACCACAATGAACGGTACTGGTAGTGTCAACACATCACAGCTACTAATTACTTTTGGCGCGATACCGTCATATGCGTTGAGCGGTAAAAATGAAAATGATAATGACCACGAAGCAACGAAGGCTAAGGTACTTAGCTTCACTACTTAAAAATCACTTAAATGTCATTGCCAGACAAACCACGTTTCAGGGTTTCTTTTTTCACTGAACAGCCTTTCACTTGTATCAAGTGAGAGGAGTTAAAAACATATCGTAGCGATGAAATCATCACAAATTATTTTGACATCCTTCAAGCACACTTAAGTCTTTATACTTCTTTATATTTCTAAGTCTACAGTCTTTTGTATTTCACCCAGTTGTGATGGAACGATTTCCCACCCGATAAGACTAGCAGCTTGACTGCATGGTCTACCTCTTACAATGCGATAGGGGTCATACCCACGCGAATTCGTGCTGGTCTACAGGGTGTTTCACTAAAAGTGTCAAAAAGTAAAAGGCCCTTATGCACATAATAACAATGTTTTCTATGGACATTTGCACATCATTCCATCCGCGATTGTTGGACATTTGAATATATAAAAAATGATATCACCGTCACTCAAACCTATTCCACATATCCGCCGCTTCTTTTGATGCACCGTTTCGGCACGTGTCCGGAGGTGCCTCACAGCCCGTTTTCATCTTCAGCGTCCAGACTGTCGGCAAAGCCTTGCATTGTGCTCTTCAGCTCCAAAAGTGATGCGACTTAAGTCTTCCTCAGCTCTGCGAGAGCTACTGACCAAAACCAGAAGGCTAGCGGTGACAGATCGGGGCCTCGCGCTGGCCAGGGGCGGGCGGTGAGGCAGCTGATTATTCGGCCCGCGGGAACGGAACTTCTGGTCCAGCCAGTTCTTTGTGGCTACAGCCGTTACAGTGGTTGTTTCTGATAAATTGGGGGCTTGGCTATTTCTGATGTTGAAATAAGCTTCTTGTTATCTTAAAAGGCCCTAGAAAAAGACCCTGACCTTTTCAACGATTTCCGCCGAGAGGTGGGGGCGACCTGCCTTTTTTTTTTTTGACTGGAACCGGCATCAAAGGAACCCTTTTAAACCTCTCAAGAAGCCCTTTGAAACTTTTATAATCTGGGTCGTAGCGAGGTGAGAGAGTGAAACGTTTCCTGAAAAGTCGGCGTACGGTTTCAATGTTTCTGATAGCACCAAATGTAAGTGTAATCCACCG